AGGACCAGGTGAGGGCGGCAAGCAGCCCGGCTGCCAGGCCCGCCAGCAGAAAGCCTCCACCCCCCCACCCCCCAGGGACGCCCGGCTAGCTCTCCGTGTTCATGCATCGCCTCTCCCGCAGCTTTTCTACTACCAGGAGGTGACCCAGAAGCAGGAGGTGGCGCTCTCTTGCCAGCGCGAGCGGGAGCAGCACCTGCAGGAGTGCCTGGGCCAGGCCGAGAGGAAGGCCAGCCTCCTGGAGATCAGCCTGGATCTCTACCGGCAGAAGTACCAGGCCTCCTTGGCCCGAGGCGGGGAGCTCGAGGACCAGCTGCGCCGCCTGCAGGAGGAGCTCGCCGACCAGGTGAGTGTCCTTCCTCTCCCAGCCCAGGTCTCAACGTTTCCAGAGTTTTAGAGCTGGTGGGGAAAAAACAAACCAACAGGGGTGTCCTGTCCCTCAGAAGGGAAAGGGAGATGGTGTGGGGAACTTTAAAAAGAAGGTTCTGAACGGCTGTCAGCTGAGCCCAGTTAGCCTAGTCAGTGTCCTCTGACAAGCGGGGGCGGGGGGGGGAAGCGAAAAGAGAAACGACTGATTTTGCGGCAGACCAAAGCAAAAAGCACTGTCTGGTCCAAAGGGGGTTGTGATTAGACAGCACAGTGGCCTTCACCAAAGTCAGTAAAAGGGTTGCCCCCGAGGAAGGCAAGCAGCCCTTCACAAGCAGCGAGGCCCCCTCCTCTCCTCTCCTGAAGAGGGCAGCCCCCACGAGGGGCAGAGAGGCCTCTTGGGTTGGAGTTGTGCCCCCCCGTCAGCGGGAGGCACAGGAGTTGCCCTTCTCTTATTCACCGACCTCCCGGCTGTTCGCTTTTGGCAGGTTAAGTGAGTAACACTTTGTCTTGGGAGGCACTTCCGCAAAGGAGAGGGGAAAAGGAGAACGGAGGACAAAGGAAAAGGCAGAGGGGCTCCGTCCCTGTTTTAGCTCCGTTTTTTCCCATGAGGCAGACGATGAACTTCCAAATAAATGGGAAGTGCAAGTGAGAGGGGGGACAGGATCGCAGCTGGAGATGGATAAACATATAGTCAAGGAATGCCTCACCACCTTGAATGAGTTCAAATCTCCAGGGCTGGATGAACGGCATCCGAGAGTACTGGAAGAACTGCCTGAAGAACAATCAGAACTGCTATCCATTCTTTTCTTGAAATCATGGGAAACGGTTGAGGTGTCAGGGGATTGGAGGAGAGCCAGTCCTGTCCCTGCCTTCAAAAAGAGCAAAAAAGAGGAACCTGGGAACTACAGGCCAATCAGCCTGACATCCATCCCAGGCAAAATTCTGGAACAGATCGTAAAGCGGTCATTGTGCAAGCACCTAAAAAACATGGCAGTAATAACTAGAAGCCAACACGGATTTATCAAGAACAAATCTTGCCAAACTAATTTGATCCCATTTTTTCATCAGGTCACCTCCCTGATAGACAGAGGGAATGCTCTAGATGTAATATATCTTGACTTCAGCAAAGCTTTTGACAAAGTGCCCCATGATGTCCTGATCAACAAGCTAACTAGGTGTAGGCCGGATAGATCGAGGGTCAGATGGTTACACCATTGGCTACAGAATTGTACTCAGAGAGCGAGGATTAATGGGTCCTTCTCTAAGTGGGAGGAGGTAACAAGTAGGGTACCTCAAGGCTCAGTCCTGGGTCCGGTGTTCTTCATTCATTTATTAATGACTTGGATGAGGGAGTACAGGGAATGCTTGTCAGATTTATTTATTTATATTTATTTATTTATTTATTGGACTTATATACCGCCCCATAGCGCTACAAGCACTCTCCGGGCGGTTTACAATTTTTAATTATACAGGCTACACATTGCCCCCCCAGCAAGCTGGGTACTCATTTTACCGACCTCGGAAGGATGGAAGGCTGAGTCAACCTTGAGCCGGCTACCTGGGATTTGAACCCCAGGTCGTGAGCACAGTTTTAGCTACAGTACAGCATTTTAACCACTGCGCCACGAGGCTCATTTGCGGATGATACCAAATTGGGTGGAATAGCTAATACCCTAGAAGACAGAAACAACATTCAAAATGACCTTGATAGGATGGAGAACTGGGCCGAAAGTATCAGAATGAATTTCAGCAGGGATAAGTGCCAAGTCCTGCACCTCAGAAAAAGAAACCAATTGCACAGTTACAGGATGGGGGAGACTTGGCTCAGCAAAACTACGAGCAAGAAGGACCTTGGAATTGTCATAGATCACAAGCTAAATATGCGCCAACAGGGTGATGTGGCTACAAAAAGGGCTAATGTTCTTTTAGGCTGCATTAATAGAAGTCTAGTTTCCAAATCCAATGAGGTGCTAGTCCCCCTCTATTCAGCCCTGGCGAGGCCTCCCCTTGAGTCTTGTGTCCAGTTCTGGGCACGGCACTTCAAGAAGGATGCTTACAAGTTGGAACAAGTTCCGAGGAGGGGGACAAGGAGGATCAGGAGGCTGGAAACCGAGCCTTCTCTCGCACAGGCCAGGGAGAAAGAGGAGGCTGCCTTGAAGCTGCACGCGGAGCATGTGGCGGGAGAGCTGGCCCGGGAGCTGCGGGAGGCCCAGCAGGAGCTGAGCCAGGCCCAGCGCCTCAGCGGCCGCTGCCAGGAGACCGTCCAGGAGCTGCAGAAGCAGCTAGCCTCCGGCCACCTCGAGGTGAGGCGGGCAAGGCCACAGGCGGTGGCGGTGGTCCAAGGGTGGGGGGTCCTGTCCTTTCCATGGCAGAGTGACAGGCGGTGTCTCTTCAGCTCCTAGAGCGAGAGGAAGAACTGGCTGCCCTGCGCCGAGACTTCGCCGCCTACAAGGCCGCTCACAGCTGCTCCAACAGTAGCTACGAAAACCAGCTGGACTACGCAGAGGCTCTGAGGCAGGTAAAGCACCACCGCTTTGAGGCCATGGAGCCCATCGGTCCTCGGTAGCCAGAGCGGCCCGGGAGCACGACGGCCAGGGTCGAAAGGAAACGGTGGCTGTCTTTGGTCTGCCCAGAAGCTGGCGCGAGCGGAGGAGGAGAGCGCCGAGCATCGGCGGAAGGCCGAGGAGTACCAGGAGCTGTTGCAGGACTTGAAAGCGGAGCTGGCAAGAGTGATGGAGCAGGAGACCAGCGCCAGGAAAGGTAGGGCAGGACAGAGTCGCTCAGCCCACCGCCCCACCCCCGGGTCCCTCCGCTGCCTGGAGGAGGCTCTGGCGGCGGGTCCTTGCCCTACTGCAGGCTCTCCTTGTTTCAGGTGCAACTCAGCTGGAGCGGAGGGTGCAGACCCTGCAGGAGGAGGCAGCCGCTCAGAGGGAGAGGCAGCAACTGGCGGCCGCTGCCCTGGAGCAGCAGGCAAAGCAGCTGGGGCTGGAACTTGAGCAGAGCCGCCAGTCCTGGGCCGAGAAGGAGCAGGTGAGCCCGTCGGCCTGGCCTGCGCAAGGCGTCCAGCTGGGGCGGGGCCCTCTGGCCCTCACGCCAGCCCTCCTTCCCTTCCACAGGAGATCCAGAAGCGGGACCAGCTCCTGCGCAGATCCCAGGCCGAGGCGGCACACGCCCAGCGTGCCCTGCAGGAGAAGGGACAGGAGGCCGAGCGGCACCAGGCCCAGGCCCATCGCCTGGCCGCCCGTTTGCAGGAGGTGCAGCAGGAGCTGGAGAAGAGCCGGGCAGAGATGGCCGCTCTGCATGTCGAGGCGGAGGCGCTGCGGGAGGACCTGCGCACGAGCCAGGAGCAGCGGCAGCAAGTGGGTGAGTCCATCGCGAAGGGGAGGCAGGGCTTTGGGGAAAGGGGGGGAAGCACCCTGGGGCAGGGCCCTCTGCGGTCTCTGCCACATGCACACTACGGACCCCTCCACCTCTCCTCCTCCTCCCAGCAGACCAGAGCCAACCTTGGGGGAAGCGTCAGCATGCAAGGGCTGCTTCGCAGGGGCTGCTTAGCAAGAGGCAAAGGGTCCACGTTGTAGCATTAGGCGCCAGGTGGTGAAACAGGCAAGATCCAGACACCCAAGGGCCCCAGCAAAGGTGGAAGCACATGAGCTCCCCTCATGGGATAATGAGCACACACACAGAAACAGGAGTGTGTGTGTGTGCTTATTCTCCTGCTGTCATTGCCTGACGGTCCCTGAGGTGGCCCACCTGGCAAGAGAAACCCGGCGCTGCCGTGTCGATCTTTTGGCTGTGACCCAGTCAGTGACTCAGGGGAGACCTGAGTGGGCTCAGGGCCCAGCGCACTCTCCCCCCCACCTCCTTGGGCCCCTTTCCTCGTTGCCCAGCCTGCCCGCCCGCCTGCTCTTGAAAGCCTTGAAAGGAGGCCTTTGCTCCCCTGCTCCCTTCCTTCCCTCTGACCAGCCCGGGAACTGGCCGAGCAGGAAGAGCAGCGGCTGCTGGCCCAGAGCCGGCTGCACTCGGCCCAGGAGCAGCTGGAAGAGCGCGTCGCCGAAGACGCTCACCGCGCGCAGGAGGGCCGCCGCCTGGAGGCTGAGGTCCAGCTTCTTCACGAGAGACTCTCTGCGGCCGAAGCAGAGCTGGAGGAGAAACGGTACCTGCCAGGGGGTTGTGAGGACCACAGGAGGATCCCAAGTGA